AATAAATTTCTCAAACATTGACCCACTTTCAGTCTTTTTCATTTTGTGATAATGTACCATCAATATCTAAATCCCTAGTGTGCTGTAGAAAAGTACAGAGATGTCTGTTACAGTTCACTAGCAGGCCTGCCTGATAAAGATTTCTTGCAGATCCGATAGCGCTTTGTATATCACACCTAAACATTTGATTTACATTTAGCCGGTACTAAACCAAGCAGTGAGAAGCATTTGGTAAATCCCTAATGTAAACATCTGGGAAAGATCCATATGTTGCTTATTTTATTCCGAGCTTCTCTCAAGACTTTCAGTATATATGAGAGTCATATTTATTTTATATGTGTAACAACTGCAAAGCCACCAGTGGCCTACACATAAAATAGTTCTTGGCAAAGTATTTTTCATTAAGATGGCTTGACAATTGTTTGATAAGATTTTGCATCAGGTATTGAAGACCCCAACAAAAGCGTGCTGAGGAGTGGTGACAAAACCTGTTGGCAGAAGGCTCAGATATGCACCAGAAACAGAGCTGTATCATCAGCCATCAACAGAAGAATCACTTCTGTGATGGCAGGCTCATTTAAGTAAAAAGGTATTTTTTTAGAATGGGCTAATGAGTGGGAAGGGGTTGGGTATGTGGGTATTGGGGATGGGCTTTAAGAGAAATACTTTAATGCAAATATATTTTTCATTCTAAGCAACTGTACAAATTTAGAGCAAGTAAACAATATTAAATAAAAGTAACATTTGATACAGAGCTTGGGGTATCCTAAGCAGTCTTTCCAATAAATAGATAGCTGAGTAGTTATTTAATAACCAATCAAGCCAAAGCAAGTGACTTATAAACTGTAAATACAATTAGATTCTGGCTACAGTCAACCAATCGTGACCCCAAATCATCTTACTGGCCTTGTCCTATGAGATTCAAGAATCAAAACCTATTAAGGAGAACAGGGTTGCAATGATTTCCAAGGAATAAGTGAAACACATATGTCATTCTTTTCAAATATAAAGAGAGAAGCTGATTGGGTGCCATGCACAGCTGGTCCAGATTTTGTCTGCTCCAGTTTTGACAAATTCCCTTCAGAGTGTTTTTGCCCCATAACAGAAAGTGTCTAAAAAAGGGCCTCCTTGGCAGGATTACTAGGTATTATTTTATTTAAACCAGCAGATCTATTGACAGTACATTAACACAATTTAATGAGATTTTTGTGATTGGGTTTACATCTACTATAAATACTATTATGATATAATGCATATTAACAAAGACATTTACAACCACTCTGTCAAACAATCTAGAGCTATTAAAACTATAAAACATGCTATATACTATAAATAGCTAAGGTGTCACTTAGTGTCTACTTCTAAAATTAAAAAGAACTTTATTTTTTAAAAAACAACTAAATAAGTTTAAGCAAAATTAAATAATTAAACTCAGGAGTTAAACTGTAAAAATGCATTCAAATACCTCAACTATTAACACAAATGTATCTTATTTGGGTATCTCTCGGCTGTAGAGCCTCACATCATCTCTGAATTGGTGCTGACACTGTCCTTCCTTCTGCAGGGTGGCTACTTTTGTTCCTCATGGTCCCTGTTGTAAAGTAGCCACCACTCCAAGCTCACTCCTGTGATGGACCTGTAGCACCCTGTAAGCAGGAATGCTATTAAATTTAGTTATTGTCAGATTGTAATCAGTCTGATGCTGATTTGTAGTATATGCTCATCCAGTTTTCCCTAACCAGTCTGTCATCGTTTAAATTTGCCTGCTGCTGGGTGTACCCTGGCCACAGGGCATAACAACAACTAGGGATAGCCTGTTAGGAGTATGTATGTGTCCCCTTAGCCAATCACTGGGAGATTGATGGCCAGTGCATGCTGGAAGAAAAGATAAACACTTGGGGTGGACCATGTGAGCTCTCTCTTCTTACACACAGGCCCTGCCTTTGGGAGGCTACTTTGAACTGTCTGATTTGGCCAAACCTAAAGCCATGGGGTCTATCAATGTGCTCACTAGACATGTGCGATTCGTTTAGTTCCGAATCGAAATTCGGACGAATTTTCGGAAATTCGGACATTCGGATGTATCCAAATTCCGAATTACAGACATAACGAATGCAAACGAATCCGAATTTCCATTTCCGAAATTCGGTAGCGTTAGTACGAACGTTCGTTTCGTTTTCTGTTCTTATTCGTTTCTTATTCGTTTCGTTCGTTGGAGCAAAGTGACATTAGAGAAGGAGAAAAATATTTTTCCCCCTCAAATGTCACTTTTGTTGCAAACGAACGAACAAAACGAATAAGAAACGAATAAGAACAGAAAACGAAACGAACGTTCGTACTAACACTACCGAATTTCGTCCGAATCCGAATTCCGAATCCGAATTGACTTTCACACCCGAATCCTGAAAAACGAAATAACACAAATCCGAATTTAAAACGAAACGAAACTAAACGAATTTTTTGGCAGTGCACATGTCTAGTGCTCACACCGACGCCTGAGTCTGGGGCCCAGTGGCTGCAGATGACTAATGACTTCTGATTCAAGTACTGCTTGGCTATGTGCTCTACACACAGATTGCCATGTCTGGCTTGAAGTTCCTAGTCTGTGATGGCAGCAGTTACTCTATCCTGTGTAGCAGGTCATCATGTAGAGAGCTAGGAGAGGTCCTGTCCGGGGTTTATGTGTCACCCAGATTCCTCTCTTACACCTTCCGGAACCTATAGCAAGCCCCAGGTTTTACGCTTTGCCTCAGTGGCAATTTAGTGCAGGTGAGGCAAACAGACAGATCTCTGGAGCCTGGGGAGCAGACAGTATCTATCTGATGGAGCACAAGGTTGGTCAATGTGTTTTGCTGAAGCCTGGCAAACAATAGGTTTGTACAGGTTGGTAGTCAGGACTATCGTATGTTTAGTTAGTGCCGCGACATGGCTAGGATTTTCTTTTTGAAGTATTTACTTTCTTTGAGCACTGTATATAGCCTGTGTGTTGCACCAATAAATGTAACACTATTTGAAGAAAAATCACTGGTCTGGTCTCTAAACCTTGCAAGATTGCTCACCCCAGGGAGCAATTGTACCCGCTACCTATTCCCCAGCTCACATATGGTGGAGAATGCGGGCAAGTAATAGCAAGAACCTGCTATTTAAAGGGCCAGTACCTGAAGTGACAGAAAATGAATGAAGTTATAAAACAGTTGGTGTTGGCTAATGCAGCACAGCAACAGGCTAATGCTACACAGTGGGACATGTTTAATGCTCTGTAGAAGCAGACTAGTGCTGTACAGGAACAGACACAAAGATTTTGTGAAAAGCTAGCAGTTGCTGCTGAAGAAGATCGGAAGACTCTGACAGAGGTAGTGCAGGCGCTGGTACAGAGGTCTCCCGTACAGGCTGCAGATTCTTAAGACAACTCCTCACCCATCCATGTTAGTCGCTTCCTTTCCAAGATGACAGCAGAGGATGATCCAGAGGCCTTCCTGTTAACATTTGAAAGGACCGCTGAGAGGGAAGCTTGGCCTCAGACACGGTGGGCGGGACTGTTGGCGCCCTTGCTAACTGGCGAATCACAGAAAGCATATTATGATTTGATTCTGTGGATGCCATGGATTATGACAAGGTCAAGGTGGAGATACTAGCACGGCAAGGTGTTACTTTGGCGGTGCAAGCACAGCGCGTTAACAACTGGTCCTACCGAGCTGGGAAGTCGCCACGGTCACAGATGTTTGACCTCATCCACCTCATCCGAAAATGGCTGCAACCAGAGTCCCTATCGGGGCCACAGATCATTGAGCGGGTAGTCATGGATCGCTTCCTAAGATCCTTACCTGTCATCTTGCAAGAGTGGGTAACCCGATCAGCTTGTGGAGATTGTTGAGAGGTACTTTGCAGCTGAGGACTTGAACGCCTCCCCTGTGAGCCCATGGACTTTCCACCCAAAACCACGGTCTCCCTTGGCAACCGGTAAGACTGTTCCAGGGGAGGTGGGTGGTGAGCGTGGCAAGGAAGCCGGGGGGAAAACTGATGATGTAAAGTTGGGAGGCTGGCATTCCAAAGCAGGAAAACCAGTGCCAGTCAGCAGACCTAACCTGAGGAATGTTAGATGTTTTCGTTGCCAGGAACTTGGACATGTAGCTGCGAACTGTCCATTGACTGATGAGCCTATGCAGTGTGACGTGTCTTTCAAGGAAAGGCGGCAGTCTTTGTTTGCCGCTATTTCATGCACCGCAGTACCAGTGAAGAGAAAACACATGTGTGCAATAACTGTGAATGATAAGCATGTTACTGCTTTGCTGGACTCTGGAAGTTTAGTAACTCTGATTAAGGCTGAATTGTTAGGCCCGGTGAACTTCCAGGCTACAAAGGTTGCTGTAGTGTGTGTGCATGGTGATACTCAGGAGTATCCTATAGCAACTGTGAAGTTTGGAACCGCACGGGGTAATCTGAGGCACTTGGTTGGGGTTGTGCCTCAGTTGGTGCATGAGGTAATTATTGGGAGAGACTTCCCTGAATTTTGGGGACTCTGGGAACACCCAGACGGTGCCACATTTTCTAAACCAGAGACAGAATCAGAATACATGGGTGCTGCAGAGAAGTTGTATTCAGAGGACTCCACTTGGGGGTCCCCAGACTTTCCCTTCTCTGTTTTGGCAGAAGAATTGGAAGAGTCTGATGAAGGCCCTATAGCCAATGCGGATAGACCGCCCTCTGCTGAAACTGAGGCTACTCTAGAGTTTGCAGATCTTAACACTCATAGAGAGAACTTTGGTAGTGAGCAGAGGAAATACCCTACTCTTGTGAGGGCCTGGAAAAATGTTATGATGATTAATGGGGAACCTGTTGAACCTGGGAATAGGCTCTCTTTTCCTTATTTCAGTAGTATTGATGACATGCTATATCGTGTGTATAAAAAGAACGATGAAACTATTGAGCAATTAGTGGTCCCCAAGCCGTACAAAAAGGTGGTATTGGAGCTTGCCCATGGACACTAATTGGGGGGTCATTTGGGTACCGAGAAAACCACTGAAAGGGTTTTACAGAGGTTTTACTGGCCTGGGGTACAAAAAGACATTGAAAACTATTGCAAATCTTGTCCGGTTTTTCAAATGTCTGCACCCCTACCTCATTTTCGGAGCCCCTTAGTACCCTTGCCAATAATCAAAGTGCCTTTTGAGAGAATTGCTATGGACCTTGTGGGCCCACTTCCGAAGCCTGCCCAAGGGCATCAGTATATCCTGGTCATTATGGATTACGCTACCCGTTACCCTGAAGCAATTCCCCTATGCCAGACATCAGCCAAGAATATAGCTAAAGAATTGCTACAGGTGTTTAGCCGGGTCGGGGTCCCTAAGGACCTTCTGACGGACCAAGCCACCCCATTTATGTCACAAGTGACAAAAGAATTGTGTAAGTTGTTTAAGGTGATGCATTTGCGAACCTCTGTATATCATCCTCAGACTGACGGCTTAGTAGAGCGATTTAATAAAACCCTAAAGAGCACGCTGAAAAAGGTTGTTGACAAGGATGGGAAAAACTGGGACTATTTGCTTCCATAACTGATGTTTGCCATCAGAGAAGTTCCTCAGTCCTCTACAGGGTACTCTCCTTTTGAGTTGCTCTACGGGAGACATCCTCGGGGACCTCTGGACATAGCCAGAGAGACCTGGGAGGGGGAGAAGACACACCACATAAGCATTATTGAGCATATTTCACAGATGCAGGACAGGATTGCAGTGATAATGGCAATTGTAAAAGAGTATTTAGCTGGATCGCAGGCAGCTCAGCAGAGAATATATAACAGGAATGCTCGAGTCCGCATTTTCTCACCTGGTGACAGGGTGCTGGTATTAGTCCCCATGGTTGAGAGCAAGTTCCTTGCTAAGCGGCAGGGTCCCTTTGAAGTGATAGAGAGAGTGGGGGAAGTAAATGATAAAATTCATCAACCCGGGAAAAGAAAACCAGAACAAATATACCATGTGAACTTGCTAAAGCCCTGGAAAGATAGAGTATCGCTAGCTGCTGGGTCCCTCCCAGTAGCCCACCAGCTGAATAATTAACCCCTTCAGGTTCCTGAAGTAAAAATTGCTGAGTCGCTGTCTAAATCACAAAAGCAGGAAGTCAGAGAGTTCTTAATAAAAAACCGAGAGAAGTTTTCAGGGTTGTCTGGTCAGATGTCAGTAACACAGCATGACATTGTTACTGAACCAGGGGCACGGGTTAAACTTAAACCTTACCGTATTTCTGAGGCAAGGAGGAAAGATGTCAGTGGTGAGGTGAAGAAAATGCTTGAGCTAGACATCATTGAAGAGTCCAGTAGTGACTGGTCCAGTCCCATTGTCCTAGTCCCAAAGCCAGATGGGAGTTGGAGGTTCTGTAATGATTTTAGGAAGCTCAATTCAGTTACCAAGTTTGACATTTATCCTATGCCCCGGGTAGACGAACTTATAGACCGACTGGGCACAGCTCATTATCTGACAACTTTGGACTTGACCAAAGGATATCGCCAGATTCCACTGACAGAAGGCGCCAAAGAGAAGACCGCCTTTGTAACCCCAGAGGGTTCGTTTCAATATAAAAGGATGCCTTTTGGGTTACAAAACGCACCTGCCTCATTTCAGAGAGCTATGGACAAACTTTTGAGACCCCACCAACAGTATGCTGCAGCATACTTAGATGACATAGTAGTACATAGCACTGACTGGGAATCTCATTTGCCTCGAGTCCAAGCTGTCTTGGATACTCTCCATAGAGCAGGTTTCACTGCTAATCCAAAAAAATGTGCCCTAGGGTTAGAGGAAGCCAAATACTTAGGTTACACGATTGGGCGGGGAGTCATAAAACCTCAGCTAAACAAAGTTGAAGCCATTCAGGAGTGGCCACGTCCCACCAGCAAAAAACAAGTCAGAGCTTTCCTGGGGATAACGGGATACTACAGGAGGTTTATCCCAAACTTTGCAACTCTTGCAGCCCCATTGACTGACCTGACCAAAGGGAAGAATTCGGTGATGGTCAAATGGTCCCCAGAAGCAGAGGAATCTTTCCAGGTCCTGAAGAGGGCTCTTTGTGCATTGCCGATCCTCTACTCCCCTGATTTTTCCAAGGACTTTGTAGTCCAAACTGATGCATCTGATGTTGGTCTAGGGGCAGTTTTGTCACAGGTACATAATGGTGAGGAACACCCTGTAGTGTACTTAAGCAGAAAACTAAACGATCACGAACAGAAATATGCAGTGATTGAGAAGGAGGGTTTGGCTATCAAATGGGCATTGGACGCATTAAGATATTATTTATTAGGGCGCCAGTTTGACCTGGTGACTGACCATGCTCCCCTCAAATGGATGGCGCTGAAAAAGGAGACAAATAGACGGGTGAACCGTTGGTTTCTGGCCTTGCAGGACTACAGCTTCACTGTGAAGCATCGACCGGGTATAAAAATGGCCAATGTGGAAGCCCTGTCCAGAGTCTACGCTTGTGTAGCTGTCAGTGTTGCAACCAGGGGGTTGAAACAAGGGGGGAGGGTATGTAGCAGGTCATCATGTAGAGAGCAAGGAGAGGTCCTGTCCGGGGTTTATGTGTCACCCAGATTCCTCTCTTACACCTTCCGGAACCTATAGCATGCCCCAGGTTTTACGCTTTGTCTCAGTGGCAATTTAGTGAAGGTGAGGCAAACAGACAGATCTCTGGAGCCTGGGGAGTAGACAGTCTCTATCTGCTGGAGCACAAGGTTGGTCAATGTGTTTTGCTGAAGCCTGGCAAACAATAGGTTTGTACAGGTTGGTAGTCAGGACTATCGTATGTTTAGTTAGTGCCGGACACGGCTAGGATTTTCTTTTTGAAGTATTTACTTTCTTTGAGCACTGTATATAGCCTGTGTGTTGCACCAATGAATGTAACACTGTTTGAAGACAAGTCACTGGTCTGGTCTCTAAACCTTGCAAGATTGCTCACCCCAGGGAGCAATTGCACCCGCTACCTATTCCCTAGCTCACACCTGCCATTTAAAGGAGTCTACACCAGTCTGGATAATCCTGACCCTCAACCTCTCTCCCGGATGTTTATCAATAAAGTTCCTCAGCATCATATCTACAGTCTGGACCTCGCTTTTATTGGTCACCATGGAAGGTGGTAAGTGCTATCAGGGCAGCCATGCATCAATTCCCCTAAACTGGCTGTACATATGACTCATCTTTTCTCTATGGCTCCTTATGGGGTGCGTTACAGACTAAACTTCCATACTAAATGTGAGATTGTATTCCATCCCAGGAGTGAGCTTGGATTGGTGGCGTGATGGCTACTTTACAACACACACAGGGACCATGGGGAACAAAAGTAGCCACCCTCCATAAGGAAGGACAGTGTTAGCACCAATGTAGAGAGATTTAAGGATCTGCAGCTGAGGGATGCCCAAATAAGCTACATTTTTGTTATGAGTTAAGGTAATTAAAGAGACATTAAGGGCAAAAGTTTTGTCCCCCTCCACACAACTAATGAAAGGACTTACCTTAAATGATGCCTCTTAATCCGATCATCTTCTTCTTTCCTGTAGTTTTTAGCTGTCCCTCCAGCGCTGGTGCGGGTCTCTGATCCAGCTCTGACTCCCCTGTCCTCCTCTTCTCTGATGTACCACGGACCTCCCAGCGGGTGCACACTGCTCCATAGACTTATCTTGTGTCTCTCTTCGTCTCCCGGCCGAACATCTGAACTGCGCATGCGCACGTTCCAAGATCCTTTGCAGCCGGCCAAGAAATTTTCAGATGTTCGGATCGGAGTGTGCAGCGGAGACACAGGTACGTATTAACCTTTTAAAAACATTTTTTTTATCGTTGTGCATATATCTACTGCTTGCTAGCAGTAGATATATGCAAAAACCACTGAGGATTTATTAACTCTTTAAATGTTATATTACAACCTTTCACTTTTGAATTTCCCGCCGGCTGTGACGCCCGAAAACGAAACTAAAAGTCAGATGCCGGCTTTTAGTTTCATTTTCGGGCCGCGTACAGCAGAGGACTCGGGATTACCGCCAGGGAGGTTAAGGTTTAACTCCTGAGTTTAGTCTCCCTTTAATGTCTAAAATGCTGGAACATAAAGAGAAACAAGGTCATAAGCATTAGTTACCCATTCTCTGGATGATTTTTTGTCCACAATAGGAGATTCTAGTCACGGGGTAACAATGGACACAGGCAGACATTTCTGGCTGATATTTTGTGGGGAACTATCAAATGATAGGATAATATAGTCAAGTTGAAAAACAAGCAGTATGCATATTCTGAGACCAGAGGAAGGCAAAAGACCCTTATAAAGCATGGCCCAATTTGCCCTAACAGGAAAAAGATTATATGCTGATCCCCAAAAGCAGTCAGATAACTCTCTAAATCAAGAGTGCTCAATACTATTTTTTTTAAAATAAATATTAATAACCGTTTTTATTGCATTTTTGTTTCCACAGTCTTAGTCCACTGTCAGTGCTGTCTTAAGGAAAGGTTGGGTTGGTGGTAAAGAACATCTTCAGGGGCAACAAAGTATGGGCACCAGTACAGTGACAGCGTTTCCACAGCTTCCTTTTCTCTCCAAATATATTTTTTTAATTGATTGTTTCTTTATTTCTGTTATTACAGCACTAGATAGTTTGCAGGATAACAGTAGAGATTAAGAGGGACTATCCAAAAACAAAAGGCAAACACAAGCACACATTTTTTGAAAAAAATTTGAGCATGGGCTGGCGTTTACTATAAGCTCAGTTTCTGTACTGTGTTTCATAAAAGTAAGTAGACCATTGTTCTCCTAACCTGACATGTAAGGTAATTGATACGGAAAGTTTTATTCTGCATAAGAAGATTACAAAGCAGTTACAGGTCTTTAAAATGTAACATAACCCATGCAGCATCACTATGCCTTAGAGACGGCTCTTATTAAATTTGAATAAGAAAAGAGTAAGTCCCGCAAATTTGGTCCAAATAACTTGGGACTTTTGCCTAGATGAGGAGCTAAGACGATCTGCTGGCTTAGTCTATTCCCATGGCTGTCAATGGGAGTTAACAGGTGAAAACAGACAAGCTGGCTTTATTACTGGTATATAAAGGAGCTCTGCAGTTTTAGTTTACACTGGAGATTACTGTATCTAGAGGAATTTAATTGTGAGAAGTGCAGATTTTGTAAAAGATGGAACTTCTCCAGCCTGTTGATTTCAATTGCCAAATTAAATATAGATCAGTAATCAACCTTTGTAATTAAATATAGGATACATTGTTGTATTTGTAATAGACCGAGTCAAGTTTTCAAACAAATTGTCCAACCTAAAGGACACCATAAATAAAAATTTTACATAAAGAACTACTAAGACTGCTTACAAAAATGAAACATTTCTCATATATTTTACACTGATGTTTCACATATTTTCTTTTGCAATTATATAGAATCTTTATTTTTCAAATAAACAGTGTACGGAGTACGCTGATGACACTGATTTCTCAGAGCAAACTGGGTTTTCTAAAGAATAACCACAGCAAAATAATTTTGCTTTTCGATGTCTTTCTCTAATTGGAACTATGTTTGGAGCCATGAAAACCGAGGAGAGAGAAGGTTAAGGGCTCATTCAAACGGCATCTATTGCATTGCGTTACGATCCATTTTCTAACGGATAGCAATGCGAGGACAATGAAAAATGAATGGTTGTGAATGGGACAGTTCACAGCGTTGTGTTGTGCTGCGTTGCCATCCATTGCCCTGAAAAAATTTGAGCATGTTCAACTTTTTTTTAGCACAGTGCAACGCAACATGGCAAAAAAGCATGCTAACGCAACACATTGCAAGCTTTAAGCCCGTGACACACTGCACACAAAGCCATGCAGAGCGAAGCAAAGCTGTCAGGCACGGAGCTTCGCGTGCAGTGTGTGAGCTGAGTGCAGACAGATGAATGACAGCACCTTCAGCCAATCGTCTCACGTGTAACAACAGGCTGGACTTCGCATCCGGACGCACGGGTTTATACCGATTGGCTGAAAATGTAATCTTCAGCCAATCGGCTCGAGCTCTCGCAAGCTGACATGCCAGAGAAAATTACATGACACACTGCACGCAAAGGCAGAGCGCCAACGCTCCGCGCTGCTTCATGTGCAGTGTGTCACGGCTTTTAAAGTGAAGTATGTCCACTCTGGACATGTTACTTTACAAAAAGCTTGTCCAAAAAATTAAGGAAAAAAAGCCGCAAAAAAAACAGAATGCAATGGATCGCAACAGATTGCACAGAAATCAGAAGGTACAATCACAGGTCTGGAACATAATACATAATTAAAGTAACTGTAAACTCATAACATGCTTTGCTAACATAGCAAGTGCTTACATATGTGCTGATCATTTCCTTTGTTCTCTGTCTGTGCTGCACTGTTATCAGTTATATTGTACTGAGGACCCCATTGATCTATGTTATGTACAAGAGGACAGGGGAAGTTCACAGTTGTCCAATCCTGTTTTGGTTTTCCTGATGCAGAAAAACGTTGAATGTGCATTGCTACCCTGGCCTGAAAGTGTGTTACTGGCAGAATCACCAGGGGATCTTGGATATTACCCTTACTATTGTACAATATACAACATAGATAACTTATCAATATTCTTAGGGCTGCAACAACTAATCGATTAAATCAATAATAATCGATTATGAGAGTAGTCGAGAGACTGATTTTTTTAATGCAGCCAATCGATTAATGTAAACAATAATCGGCCAACGAATCGATTATGACAATAATCGTTAGCTGCAGCCCTAAATGTTCTCAATAACAGACCACTGTCAAGTTGCATGTGCTTGGATGCATGACGCAAACATTGCATAATAAAGAGAACTAAAATGGACCTCCACTAAATGTGGACCTCTTTTAGATATATACTTATGAAAGTTTATAACATTTTAAATATGTGTGATGTACATTATGTATGCTGAGGCTTGGATGACTTAGTGGAAGCCCATTTGTGTTCTCTTTATTTTGAAAATAAAGGGGAAAAATAAAATAATGGACTAAGGACTGGTAAGCTGCAATATATTACCATTTTGGTTTTTGGTTTAGATATACTTTAATGGTTAATGAATCAGAATGAGCATAAAGGACATGGAAGACATTAGATTAATATGTTGGAACAATAAATAGGTAATGGTTTTACTGACACTAAGAATGCACTGTATCTGGAGAAGGGATTAGAGTATAGAAATTATGGGAGAGAGAGAACTCGGGGTGGGTGTCATCAGTCTGGGGATGTTCTCTAGTGAAAAGAAACCAAGACCAAGAAGTGACATAAGGTCTAAATAGTTTTATCACCCTCCATATAGTTCACTGGAGGTCTGTGAATAGGAAGAGTAAGGGGTCTTTTTCAAACAGGATTCACACAACATTTACTCAGGGTTTACACATTTTCAGTGGAAAATAGACTGTTGTTATCTACAAAACCCAACTGAGATACAGTATATGAAGGCTAATGCTACTTTTGAGACTAATTAGTTGGGCATCATAGTAGCTTAGTGGTTATCCATGCAGCACTGGAGTCCTCAGTTTGAATCTCAGCTAGGACACTTTCTGAGTGGAGTTTGAATGGGCTTTCTCCCACACATGCTGGTAAGCTAATTGGCTCCTGACTAAAATTGGCCCTAATATGATGTCCTAATGAGTGTGGCCAAGACAGCTGCCACTCTTCCTATCAACACCAATCAGATAAGCATTTAGCATTTTGAATCCCCAGGGAGAAAAGTGTCACAGACAGGGCTGACCCTTTAATGAGGCAGCCTGATGCTATTGGCTCAGGCGACATCTCATTGGGTCATGTGGGAGCATGGCCACTCTGCTGCACAATGTTTGCAGTGGGTCTGCTGCCCATTTTCTGGCTAGAGCATCCCAGGTTGCTAAGAGTTGGGCGGGGAGATGTGTAGGGGCCACACACATCCCCCTGCTTTTAGCAATCTGGGACGCTCTGGCCAACATCCTGCCAAGCTCCTGGCAACCATTGACGTCAATGGTTGCCAGGAGCTGGGCAGAACACTGAGCCAGATGGGGAGGGTGGTGTAACTCAACCCCCAAAGCTACCCCCGCCCTTCCCCTCCAGCCACCTAAGGCAGCAAAAAGGTTAGGAATGACACTGGCTATAGAAATATATACTGTATATTAGTCAATATTTGCCAAAATTACCCTTTAAAAGATTTCCAACGTCCATAAATGCTAATTCTTTTTTCAGCTCCTTGTGCAGAAAGAGAGCATTGCTTTAAATAACACCCCTTGTGACTAGTATTCACTGTACTGGACCCTTTTCTCATGAGCAGGACTCATCTATAATAAATGAAATCACAAATGATGACAGTGTTTAATATCGGGATTTAGAGCTCCTAAACATCGATTTCAATTACTGTCATGTTTCCGCCTGTTAGCTCATGGTTTGGGTCTCCTCTGGGTAACCTCCTTTACAATTGCCGACACTTCTGTATAAGAATCCCATGCAGGGAACATGATGTGGGATTTAACTCTATTACAGTTGGATTCCATGTTTAGCAGAAATAAATGAAGTGCTGCAAAAGGATTAATGGAAGCACAATGTTTACAGCATTTCACTACAGATCTGCACAAAATAGGAAAAGGAATTTGTTTAATAAGAGCTAAGCGTAGGTTTAGCTAGATTACAGTTTACGCTGTGGTTGTTAAAGTGGGACATCTGGAAGATTATACGAGTTTCTTACACAATACAGTGTTGTCATTTGTTTTTCTTTCACCGTTCTTGTCACTCAACCGTAGAATTGACCAACTTCGATGACATAGCGGTTCACAGTATGTAAACATGACTACTTGTTAAATATAATCTTGACATAGACACATGTTTGTTTCTGAATTCAAAGCAAGAATACAAAATTAAAGTGTTTCTCCTAATAAAAATCTAAAAAATGGCTACTGCAATATTGATTCTCATATATTACCTCTCCAGCAAGCAGCGAGTGAAAACTCAGTTGTCTTCAAGCGCCTCCAGCAGAATTTTCAACATTCAACCCTTGCGGAAGTGTCAGATGCCTGTGTCCTCTAACCATGTGGTATCATCGCCACAGGAAATAGTAGTGGCATAAGAGCCAATGTAAGGAAGTAGCCATTGAGTGCCCAGGCCACCAACACCCTGGAATTGTGCCAGACATAAAGATTTTTCCAGAGGCTTTAAAGCATTTAAGGCATCAGATTTCGGACTTGGTGTCTGTTGGAGAAGTCTTCTATTGCAGAATCCACTTTTTAGTTGTTTTGGGGGGAAGTGACTATAAAGATAATTTGTACCGAGAAAATATGCAGGATTCCAATGTTAAACTCTTGTATTACAAATGTTTGTTGCTATCACTGCACCAGTACACAAATCAGGTGCTCAGGTTAGTGGCTCACAAAATAAAACACCATTCTCTGTAGCTCTCAGAGATGCAAGCTGCACCACATAGAAGCATGTTACAAAATGCTGCTCTCCTACTGAGCATCACTGGGAAAAGCCTGCTGAATCAGGTTGCAATGGATTATATAAAAGAAAGGTGAAGCAAATGTCTTGAATTCAGAACAGCTGCAGTTTTTAGGATAGCATTAGTAATTATATACTTGATATTGCCTGTCGTTATTTGGAGCCCAGGTCTGGGCTATTTTTTTGTCCTCCATGGTAATTCCTTTTTGCCACTAGATGTGCTCAATCTTCCAGGTTGAATGACGACCACTATCAGTCCATTTGGAAGATTGCAGACATACTGTGAGTGCAGGGACTCATGGACCCATCCCATGACCTGTAATGATGAAGAGTGAAGCAATAATGTACTCACTAGAGAGAAGGTAAGGCGGAAGAAAACTCCACTTCTAAACCAATCTAAGACTTCTGAAAAAGGTAAGTGTAAAAAAAGCACAAAATACTGGGGGTGGGGGATGCCAAGCAGGAGGGGGAGCCCAGAGTTGGATTATAAAGCTGATGAAGCAAATAAAGGACTTGTGTACACAGGCATTTATTCATGGCATAACTGGTTTTCTCCCCATACAACACAATGGCAATGCTGAAGCAGCTCAAAGCAGCCCAAAGAACCTCATGTGGAGGTAATGAACAGGTCAAAAGCATCTTTAAAGGAAGCATCTCAAACTGATATATAATGCAAGCTGAATACACCAGAAGGCAAACTGCATTTCCCACTGTGAAAGAAACAATAGGAAAGTGAGTTTGTGTCTACTGGTGCCAGGGCCGGACTCCCAACAAGGCCAGAGGGCGCGGCACAGGGAGCAGATGGGCGGCACAGGTTTGAAGTCTCCCGACGCCCGGAACATGGAGTTCCGGGCGTCGGGCAGTAATTTGTTTTCTACATTTAGCCCTGCGTTGCACAAGCAGGGCTAAATGTAGAACAGGGAAGCCACTTGTTTATTTACAAGTGATCTTGGTGATGGCACCAAGTTCACTTGTAATTAGACTGCAGCCAGCCCGTCCTCCCCCGCCCCTCCCCCGCACCTACCTCTCTGCATGTTTATTTCTATTCACACTATCTTAGTTTCCTCACTAGCTATCACTATTTGCACAATATATTTAATAATATACTATAACAGGTCATTATATAACCTATTATAAATCACAATATAGGGTATTCAATTCATTTCTTTATATAATTTTTCGCATTTTCAGCTGTGCCTGTACAATATCCCCTTGGTTCCTTTGCCTCTCATTTTATGGTGCTGCTTTTGCTGCCCTGACACGATCCCCTTTGCGTGATTGCTCTCGCTTGAACTGAGCGGAATGTAGTCGGTTTCTCCTCATCCTCGCGTAGTGTTGACCACAGGCGATCCTTATGGATCCCTCCATGTAAGCATTTGAATACCTATAGATATTACATTTCACATGCATGCATGCTTGCTCTACATAAGTGCATTTTTTATTTGCGCTACGTGGGTTCCCTCTCATTTAGGATATATATTCTCCCCTGAAGAAGCCCCGGAGGGCGAAACATGTCGGAACTATGAGAATGAACTATCTATCATGCGTTTTAAATAAATTTATAATATTGTTAATTTATGTGATATAACTTATAAAAACAGATCAATCATGTTTTAATCGTTCCAATTATGTTCTATAATATGCGATATTAATAAATGAATTTATATATTTTTATATTAAGAGAGTTATAGTATTTCTTAAAAGCCCCTTCCCTGTTCTGTAATTGCACATCCTAAAGTGGAATTTACTTCATATAGCTTTCAAGGATTTATGATTTGGGGTGTGAAATCTTACTCTCTTTAACTAGATTTATGTATTGTACACGCCCACTAATGTCCACTTACAATATATTACCTTTTGTTCTAGGGTTTAGATTTGCTTTATTATCAAATAGAGAAGAGAAGGAAAAGTGTTTAATATGCTGACTTGCTTATTGGTCGATCCAAAAATCATAGATTCTTGAGTGTACAACTTCCTGCTCAGTTCCTGCTCTCTAATGAATGCAAGCCATGGCTCTAAGAGAAAAGCATCGTTTAGCTCTCTGTAACTCGTATATTTTACATTACATATAAAACTGTTGGAAGGCATTATATTACACAGCATTAACATTTTTGTTTTCATTATACACACTTGAGAACAATTATTTCTACATTTTCCTCAAACATTGTGTCTAAGATTTGTAGGGTCTTGTTAGCGAAAGGATAACAGCCTAATAGGGAATTATTTGATCCGTAGATGTATTGCCTATATTCGTTTCCTGCAAACGCTGGATAGAAGTTCCTTCTCACTATGCTGTTCATCTTCAAGGCATCAGCTGTTCACAATAAGTTGAATCACTCTCTGGCTTGTTAACCATTCAGCTTACTGTGAGCTTGCTCAAAAGGAACCAAAACGCCCTTCACTAAAGCACTGTAAATTGGCATTTTCATAAATCAGAAATCAGCCAAAAATAGGATGAAAATGAATAGCCCATCAAAAAACGAAATAACAAAACCAACATTTGCTACAATATTCACCTTTAATCCAGAGATTTCCCCTACGGTACTTTTTTTGTCTGATGACCAGTTTCATTCAACTCACTTCCTCTGAGCCCAGGTGATCCTGGGCCCTCCCCACACTGAGTGGACAGTGAAAGAAGAAGCAGCGCAGTGATGAACTCATCTCTCTGTCACTCTGCTATCTCTTCCAGTCAGACTCTTGTTAACACATGAACTGATTGGCTCCTTGCACTGCTTTTTCCTCCCACACTGCAGTTATGCTGTACAGGGACTACAAGAGGCTGATTCCAGATCATATCTAGTAGGCATGTTCAAAAACCAAGTACATGTACAGATACTTTTCCAGCTTTAAGACTATCGGATTGTAGGCGGTACCCTTTCAAAAAACATACTTGGGTATACCAGCGTAGGCGCGAGCGGTTTAACTGACGTGGGCGTGGCGTAAGCAGCGGGCGTGAGCGGCGTGCAGTGGCGTGAGTGGGAAATTTGAATTTTTGCCGACGAATCAACGATGGAAAACGTTGACAACGTTTTCCATCGTCGATTTTAATCGACTTAATCGAATAATTGTTGCAGCTCTACTTATATTATACAACATCAAAAATAATAATACTCATAACACCTATTGTGGATTAAACTGCCCCTTTATTGGTTACCATATTAAAATCATTTCAACTTTATTAAACTCAAACTGATTACTGTAACTTGCACTTAAAAACAACCATAAACAATTGCCCAGCCACTACGACTCGAGCAATATTATAAATAACCATCCAACAACAAGTCCCCTCTTTTAAAGAGTGACAGACCACATAGAGGATCCCGCAACAAATATAGCTTAAGGGCAGGTGGGCAGGAGCTCGCTGTGAAAGAGTCCAGCCGAGTGACCACTCTCCTTCATGCCAACATTTTTATAGGCTCCTGGGCTAACGGTCCAGAAACTTCTAGAAGAGACATGAGCCCGACTTTCCCGCCGAAACCTGTCCTTTTCCCGACGAAATTTGTCAGTTAACAATTGTCAGTTAACATCTTAAAGGGATAGTACCTAAATTTAATTGAAAGAAAGAACAGGGAAAATGGGAGAAAAAAACACCGGGACCGCCACAATCCCATGTCAGTGGGCCTAAATAAATTATTCACACTTTTCCAGACTAGAGAAAAAAATTAAAAGTTAGGAGGCAGCTGCCATTTTAAGGAGCATACGGAGCTCCTGGGATTTGTGTATCACTGTTTTAATGTATGAGTTATTTTTATAAACATATATAAAGGTATGCACCGATACCATTTTTTCAAGTAGAATTACTGATACTTGTCCAAGTACTTACAGATGCAAGTACTGATACATTTTTCTTTGGTGTCATGTGGGTTTTTCTAAAACAATACATGATTGTTTTGAATGAATAATTAATAATGATTTCAGGACAGTTGTGGAGCGCGAGGGCCCAGTCACAGCTGCAAGCACTGCAACCCTGGTAGTTCCCGTGAAAAGGCCAAGTATCGACACTGGTATCTGAACTGGTATCACTAATATTTAGGTACTTACACTGCTTGCATTTTAAAAATTTATTTATTCATGTATTAATGCACAGCTGCATTAATTTGTGTATTTTCCTGGAGTTCAGCATTAAAACAGAAAGGATTTGCATATGATTACTAAAAGCAAAATAAAAAGTAGGGTTTACTCCTCTAGGATAGTAGGTGGGGCCATGAAAGTTATTCTTACACAAACTTGAGTCCATCAGTGCAAAGCAAAAGCAAGGATAGTGTCTGAGAAATATAGCTTGGGAATACCAAAATAGAATTATCTGTTATACTGGACAAAAAAAGAATCCAACAAATGTTCTGCCTCTTGGACTCCTAATGGTCTGTAGATGTGAGACCTTCCTGTTAAGGTGTTACTCCTTCTGCTGCATTATCCTTAATATAACACTTATATAAGAATTAAATCAGAACTCCAGGGAAAATTATTCTTAACCCTTGCAGCGGGTCTAAATGACAAAGTTATACTCACTCGATCCTCTGAGCCAGCTTGGTCTTAGACCAGTCCTTTCAACTGCTGTGGTCTAAGTTCCAGTGAGTCATAACACTCTATACACTGTGTATATGGTGTGGGGAAGCTGAGGCACATGCCATTGCTGCACCGAAGAGGTCCAAGAGTACTGCGTCGCCCTGATGAAGCGACCCTGCATGGTCCCGAACGTTGGCTATTGGATATATGTGACTCTGTTTCACAATAAATGTACGCAAGGATTTGACAAAGTCTTCTGGGTGCTGGTGATCTTTAATCTAACCTAACGTGTTTCAGCCCTATACATGGGCCTAATCATAGACAATGAAGCTCAATTGGATCCTCTTCATGTGTCGGTTTTCTACAATGCTCTTTGATCCAGATGTAGGAAAGTGAAAAGCCATGACTGGAATTTTTCTTTGGGTACCTCAGACAAAAAAAGTGTCCACTGTGACATTCAGGTAAATGGAGCTACATGGTTCAGCATAAATATTGGGTGAGATTTCATATATGTTATAAATGTTTTTACAGAAAACTCCTGAATTGTGCTAAATTACTATGCTGCAAAGTTCTGATCCCATATCTGACAAGCTTCAACACTTTTTTACTGAAAAATAACTGATGGTGCAGCGAGAAACGTGTAAGACCTGGTTCCTACCTTCCAATAAAAGCCAAGAACAACTGTTCATGCATGTGCCCCGTGGTGACTTTGAAAGTGGTCTAGTTTATAATATGTTCTTCCACTTGTAGTTTATAACCGCAGAATGAAAATATTTTATAAGGTTTTACAAAGTCTGACAGTCAGCCAGTAAGGAGATTCATTGGCCTACTAGGATACATGTGGAAGAATGTCAAGCCAGCAAAACCAAACAAGCCAAAGGAACCAGTGAAGCATGCTGGTGAAATAAAATGAAATTGAGTTTTATACTGGAAAGCTGAGAAGAAAAGAATGTCTATGACTAAGTGCACAAGTCACATTCTATCTAAATGTTTACTACAATGACAAAGGAAACTATTACCGCTGACAGAGCACCTCCTTTTGACAACAGTGCATACAGGATGCAAACAAGACATTGTAAGACATTGATCCAGGTGTTGCTTACTAGGGTTACAGTACAGGAGATGGGACCCTTACTTATTACTACACCGATCGTTAAAATATATGTAAAGCCAAAACTATTTTTTTTCCATTTTGGATGGAGTAGAGTGTTTAAAACCCATGTCAGTTTTGTTTTTATATTTTTGCCTGTATCTGTGTTCCTTTCAAGCGATTTTCCTTTAGCACCTGTCATGAAGACACAACAGAGACACAAATGAGAGGATATCACCCAGAGACTTAAATACCCTTTAACCGCTTAAGGACAAAGGCCTTTTTTTAATTTTTTTGTTTACATGTTATAATCCACATTATAAGCCTGAAAATTACTTAAAACCCCCAAACATTATATATTTGCTGAAAGCCAAGACCCTATAGAATAAAATGATGGCAGTTGCAAGTTTTTGTATTGCACGATATTAGCACAACTTATTATCAAACCCAACAATTTATTGAAAAATGCTTTTAAGTTAATTTTAGAGTCCCAAAACACAATATAAAACATTTTTTGTAAACTATAAAGGATGAGGTTACAACAAGTAAATAGATACCCAACATGCCCAGGTTAAAAATCGTGTGCCTCCGTGAAACTGCAACAGAATTCAGTACCCCAAAAAATACATTGACGATGCTTTCAAAGCCTCTACAGGTCATCAGTTTTGAGATATGCATAAATATTGGCCCTAGAATTATTGCTCTCACTCTGGTGTATGCGGCCATACCCAACATGTGTAGGGCAATTGTAGTTTTCATATGTAGGTGCACCCAACGCGTGTTTACGTGACGACACGTGTGCTCGTAGAGGCGGGGGGCTCTAAAAAAAATGTTTTCATTATTTTTACATTTAATTTAATAAATATTATTTGTAAAACTGTTTTTTTTTTAACTTTAATTGCTATCACATAAGGGGGAGTTTTCATTTAAAAATAAAGCAGAACTCGGTAAATCAAACATTAACCCTTGCAGTGGGGCTACCCCCGCACTGCAAGGGTTAAGTGCTAATTTTTTTTAGGGAGCTAAAATAACAAAGATATACTCACCTGAACCACAATACCAGTTGGCTCTTAAGGTGCCCATACACTGTGCGATTATCGCACGATAATCGCAGGAAATCCCGTGATGGCAGACGTGCGACCGTTTTTACTGTACGGTTGCACGTCTTTTGTGTAATGTTCGAAAACCAGCCTAAAATCTGACGATTTTAGGCTGGTTTGTGGCATGCTCGGGAGACAAATGCCAAACGGGCAGATGTGCTTACGCGCACACTGCCCGTTCAGCATTGCGGTCATCGGAAGCCCGCCCCTCAGCGGGGCGGGCTTGCGATGATCGCAAGTACGATCTGCCTGTCCAAGATGGGCAGATCGTACATTTTTTAAATTACTTTACAACCCTCGCAAGACTAAGACTAAGGTCTTGCGATGGTTGTAAAGTGTATGGCCACCTTTAGACTGTCCCTTCAGCCTCGCTCCCCCTCCACTCCAACAATCTAAAGTTCTGTGAGTCATCACATTCTATACAGTGAATAGATGGACATATCATCCATGGAGCAGAGGAGGTTGGATCAGCTCCAAGGATCAAGTGAGGTTAACTTTGATATTTTGATTTTGATATTTTAGCTCCCTAGACAAAATGAGCACTTAACCCTTGCAGTGCGGAGGTAGCCCCACTGCAAGGGTTCAGATTTGAGTTGCACAGAGTTCTGCTTCATTTTTTAATGAAAACACCTCCAGACCTATTGTACATAGGCTTATGCTCACTTCTGACCCACACTGGAAACTGAATGCAAAATATTAATGCTAAGTCTAGTTGTTTATAGCCTTAAACATAATGTTAAAGTAGCAATAAAGAAATACAATAATACTTTAGCCACTAAACTCCTGTTTTATGAAGCTACTCCAGTGTGTTCATTCAGACAAAATAAAACAGAGGTGTAGTACAGCTGCAATAATGGCATGTCATATGTAATGTTGCAGATTAACACCTCATAAAATACTGATAGGTCAACATGCCTAATGAGAACATTTGTTTTCTGTTTAGGCTTTTCCACTGAAATAAACATAGACAGTCTAAATGAGTATTGCTGTGCAGACTCTCTACAAAATGACATACAATGCAAATTCCTAAATAATGAGTTTGTGGCAGTCTACTGTAGCTGTTAACTAATTCATTCCTCCAAACAATGGTGGCAAGGAGCTAGCATAGACAGTAATACCAACAAAAGACTGTGGTTGCAATGGAAGATAATACGTTGGTCCATCCTCATTGAGACTGCTGCACTGCCAATCCTATCACAACTTCTATTACTCAAGCAGTGACTGAAGGGTCAGTCTGTCCAAACCAGGTGTTGTGTTTTAACCAGATGCTGGTGGTATAAATCACTCACTAGCTTCATTAACCTTTATTGAACACAGCAGTGACATCAACACAATGGGCCTAAGTTGAACACCCACCAGGCATGGTATTTGTATTGAGTCTGTGGTTGTGATCTGCAATTGCATAGGTGCTTATTCCACAATCCACAATATACCTGTGTATGTGTCTGTATGACATGGTACGCCCATTATTTATTTTTTGGTATAGAGAATGATGGGAAAGGTTCTACTGACTCTGCAAAGTGGCATCACCTCTGCAAAGTGGTGGGACCTTCTTTTGTGGCCCACTTGCACTGTCCAGGACATTTGTATGTAACATTCTAAAATTTGTGTTCATTTTTATTTGTGTTCACTCTTTAACCACTTGAGTCCCAGCATCTCACACCTATATAAACCCCTTTGAGTTCCGAGGCTTTTTTATGGTTTCTGAACATAGATAGATACCGTAGTTTGCCCTACAATCACTGCTTAGTATTGCAGTCTACCTAGCTAATCATGGTACTGTTTTTCGGGGACAGGTACATTCTTTTGAGACTATACTTTAACAAATATATATATTTTTTTTAAAGTATACGAAAAAATTGTGCAAATGATGAATAAAAGAAATTTCAATGTAAATGTCCCCAAGATCATCCGACGTGTGACATGAGGATTAATCTGGCAAGATATATATATTTATTTTTTGGAGGGGCCTCATGCCCACAGATGCTTTCATTCATACAGCATGAAATTCTGGCGTTTTTTTCAGACCCAGGAAGCACTGCTATTGTGTACAGCCACCAACAGAATGTATCCGGGTGTATGCCGGTAAGTATGCGTATAGCATATGGGTGTATTCCGTGAGTGCGGAAAGTCTGTTTTTGTAAATATGTCTGTTTGCACATGGGTTTTCTGTATTTGGGCAATATGCGTATTTATACAAGTGTTGGCATATTCCTGAAATGAAAGTGTTGTATTTTCTTTCATTTTCAAAGCATGCTCCTATGGATAACTATGTGAAAGCATTGGAAGTCCAGGAGCTAATCATTTCAGGTCCTGGGCTTAGTGCTGGATGGCGGCTGTCGCAGAGAGCTAGTGGTTCCAGTCTTTACACCCACCAGGACCAACGGGAGCAGTTTTAAAATGGTGTTGGACAAAATAAAGGCTATCCAGTGCTGTTTTAAAATGGCGGCTGGGACTCAAGTGGTTAAAAAAATTATATGTACCATTAATATGACTGTAATGTCAATATAAAAATGTGTAGCTAAAATGTTAGTTAGTCTCAGCTAGTTTTTGTGAACTCCATTATTTCTTAATTTTTCCCCTAGCTTTTTTTTGTATGCATGTGATTTTTTTTTAAATTGTACTTAAATGTTTTTGTGAATTAAAAAGCTTGGGGGGATTACTTTGGAATACTTACCTTAAGCACTAGAGGAGCTTGCCCTTGCACTGCTGTGAGGCTCACTGCAGCCTGGATGGGGTATAGCAGAGGTACTGATTTAGTTGCGGAGCCCCTCATTGGGCCTTTTTAAGTTGGACAGCGGTGAGCTAATCCAACCACACGGAGGTGCTTATTATCACCCCCAAGGCAAACAGGCCTGATTATTGCTAGCAATGTGCAATATTGTGAGTATCACTTGTTTATGGCCACTCTAAATCACTTAAGTGCATCATTAAAATCCCAATAAAACTAAAGCATTGTTTCTGTAAAAATGCTAGCTAGTAAATAATGTTTTATATCGTTTTCTTCCCATTTTATATTTTCTTAAAAATATCTGAATTTATCTTTGCAGAGAACAGACATGGATTATTTTAGGCATGACCATAGTCACAAGAAAAAATAAATATAATAAAAATCTCAAATAATATATTGTACTCCCGCTAACACCGGTGGTTGAAAACATGACCAGAGAACCATGCCAAACCACTTTTATTTTGGCACACAGAGTTTCTAAATCCAACTGTAGCCACAGCAGTGTGTGCTGTTTATGCAGTCTGAATTTTTATGTCTTTGTTGTAAATCCAGGTTCTTGATCACAAAAAGCAGCATAAAAGTTATTAGAAGCATAAATGTCAGGATTACTAATGGTACAAGCTTTCAAGGATTGCTTTTCCAGGTTTGAAACCTATACAACATTTTTTATTCTCGCATCATCTATGTGTAAGGTTTTGCATGTTTTCATAACTCTTCTGAGGTAAATTGTGCCTGTTCTAAATTGTTTCCTCTAGAGGGAATTGGAGGACTCGGGACACAGCATAAGCCACCCATGGTATTGTATGGTGGGAACTGGCAACCAATTATTGTGGCATCACTCTCTCTATGGCTGTAGTGTAATTATCTCAAAATATGACTGAGGCCAGGTTCACACTTCCGCGATCCTTGACCATGCGTCAAAGGTGCATGAAACCGCGTGGATGGCCACATGGTCACGGAGTCGCACACCACTGCAGATCCCGCTGGCAGTGCCATTCTTTTCTAATGGAACCCCAGTCGCACCAGGCAGGTTGCGTGGTTTCCAGCAGTGATTCCGCCCCATGCAATTACACACAATTTTGAATAAAAAAGCTATGCAACGCAAAAAAAGGTACATGTAACTTTTTCAGCAATTGCCGGTGTATTGAAACAGGCCTGATTATTGCAAGCAATGTGCAATATTGTGAGTATCACTTGTTTATGGACACTATAAATCTCTCCACTGTCGCCACTCTGTATTGCCCCATTGAAATCATTTGGGCAGGGCGGCAAACGCTCTCTGCAATCGTGCATGCTGGTGTGGTCCACGGAAGATATTTATAGTGTATTGCCAGTTTAAATATTTATTTTAGTTTTGGATAGGGTGGGTAAGGAATGATTACAACCCCTTCAAAAAGAAAGCCAGCACTCCAGATGAAAAAGAAGTGTGTTTTATGTTAGATACATGTAAGACCAACATTTCTGGGACAAAGGGTTCCCCTTTTTCCTAGGCGACAAGACAGAACACATACACCAGTGTTCATATCATATAAATACACAATGTAAAGGCCATCAAATGGGGTTCACCTGGCCGTTTTGGAAACACAGATTGCTGACTTTAGAAGTGGAGTCTCTGTAGGGTTTTTTTTGTTATTTGGGGCTCTATTACAGAGATTTCCACTCACATATGGCCTGGTAACAACAGTTACAACAGCACCAGAGACTGGGCAGCTTCAGCCTGTGTAGAAAAGTCTGTACGCTGAAAGCATGCTGCAGAGAAGGATCTTTGCTCTCTATTTGAAAGCAGTGGTCTCCCTGCACAGGTACCAATTACCTCCTGCTGAGGCAGTGCTAGAACTCTGACTCAACAGGGGATGTCTCAGACCTCTGCAGATACACCTCTACTTTCATAGAGTGAGGGCCCTTCTCTGCAGCATGCTGGCAGGGACCTGCCTTTTCAATTAATTTTGGCCTGTTCTAAAGAAAACACCTATTATGATGTACCTAAAATGTATTTAGCTGACTCAGGGCTTCATTTGGTATATGTGATGAGCCATATGATATATACTATAATCAGAGACACAATTTAATTTATTTTAGCTGACTTTCTTTTCAATTTGTTGTAAATCAAATTGTTCTCTTATTATTACTATGTCATGCCAATGTGTTCTTTGAATAGTTTTTATGTACACATTGTATTGGATTATTGCACTTGTCTGTTAAATTAATATCTGTTTGGATTATTAAAATAGTATCCTAACAAGCAGAAGGCTTAGGGTTATGAATTCCAACACTAAACACTTTTAAAAGGAGACACATTCAAAAACAGAAGAGATGGTCACCAGCACACACAGAAGAAGCAGCAC